CCCTCAACCCTAACCCACCCGACCCTAACCCTCACCCGGACCCTAAACCCTAACCCTACCCTCACCCTAACCCCAACCCCAACCCCCTAACCCCAACCCCAACCCCCTAACCCTAACCCCTAACCCTAAACCCTAACCCCAACCCCAAACATAACCCTAACCCCTAACCCTAACCCTAACCCAAACCCTACCCCTAACCCCTACCCCTAACCCCTAACCCTAAACCCTTAACCCCCTAACCCTAACCCCAAACCCTAAACCCCTAACCCTTGACCCTGACCCCCGACCCCTCAACCCTAAACCCTGACTCCTCAACCCTAACCCCTGACCCCTGACCCCTAAACCCTAAACTCTCACCCTCACCCTCACCCCTAACCCCTAAACCTCACCCTCACCCCTAACCCTAACCCAACCCAACCTAACCCTACCCCTAACCCCTAACCCTAGACCCCTCACCCTCACCCTAACCCCGACCCCCCACCCCCTTAACCCTAACCCCCAACCCCTTAACCCTTAACCCAACCCCTAACCCCTAACCCCCACCCCCAACCCTAACCCTACCCCCACCCTCACCCTCAACCCTAAACCTAACCCTAAACCCTAACCCTAACCCCTAACCCTACCCTAACCCCTAACCCTCACCCTACCCTAACCCCTAACCCTAACAAACCCTAAACCTAACCCTAAACCCTAACCCTACTCCAACCCTTACCTAACCCTAAACCCTACCCCTAACCCTAACCTACCCCTACCCCTACCCCTAAACCCTAACCCCCTACCCCCTACCCCCGACCCACCCCTACCCCCTAAACCCTGACCCCGACCCTAAACCCTAACCAACCCTAACCCTAAACCCCTAACCCCTAACCCCAACCTCACCCTAACCCCTTACCCTTAACCCTAACCCCTGACCCTAACCTTAACCCCTAACCCTGACCCTTAACCCTACCCCCTAAACCTAACCCCTCACCCCTCACCCTTGACCCTTGACCCCAACCCTAACCCCTACCCCTCACCCTTAACCCTAACCCCCTAACCCTAACCTGACCCCTGACCCTAACCCTTAACCCCTCACCCCTACCCCTAAACCCTGACCCCTTAACCCTAAACCCTCACCCCAACCCTACCCCTTACCCCTAACCCCAACCCTACCCCTACCCCTGACCCCTTACCCCTATCCCAACCCTACCCCTACCCCTGACCCTAACCCGTAACCCTAACCCCTAGACCCCGACCCCAACCCCAACCCTACCCCCTAGGCCCTAAACCCCTCACCCTGACCCTAACCCCTAACCCCTTGCCCTCACCCCTCACCCTCCCCCTAACCCCTACCCCTTACCCTAACCCCTAAACCCCTAACCACAACCCTAACCCCTAACCCTAACAACAACCCTAAGCCTAAACCCTAACCCTAACCCCTAACCCTGACCCCGACCCCCTAACCCCAACCCCAACCATAACCCCTAACCCCTACCCTACCCCCTAACCCTCTAACCCTAACCCCGACCTTACCCCTGACCCTAAACCCTAACCGACCCTGACCCTAACCCTGACCCCAACCCTAAACCCTAACCCCACACCCTCCCCCTCCCCTCCCCCTGACCCTTAACCCTACCCTTACCCTAACCAACCCTCACCCTCACCCCCTAACCCTCCCCCTAACCCTAAACCCAAACGCTACCCCTAACCCCTTAACCCTAACCCCTAAACCCTCATCCTAACCCTACCCCTAAACCCTCACCCTAACCCAACCCTAACCCTAACCCCTCACCCTCACCCCTAAAACCTTACCCTAACCTAACCCTAACCCCTAAAGCCTCACCCCCTAACCCTAACCCCTTAACCCCTAGCCCTAAACCGTAACCCTATCCCCAACCCTAAACGCTTACCGTAAACCCTAAACCCTAACCCCTAAACCAACCCTAACCCTAAACCCTAACCCAACCCCTAACCCTGACCCCAACCCCAACCCTAAGCACCCTAACCCTAACCCCTACCCCTAACCCAACCCTAACCCCTACCCCCACCCCCTTAACCTCTAACCCTGACCACCGATCCCCTAACCCTAAACCCTACCCTCCAACTCTAACCCCTAACCTGAACCCTTAACCCCTAACCCCACCCTACCCCTACCCAGGACAGACGCTGATGCTGCTCAGGAACAGCTAATTTTGGGGCGGGCGTGGGGCGGGCCCGCTTGTCCCCGAGTCTCCTGTGTGGAGAAGGTTTTGTTCGCAGACCCGCCTCTCCGGAAGCCAGGCAGGGCCAGGTGCTTCTCCACCCCAGCTTCTGTGCTGAACACTTCCTTGCAACCCGGATTCATGCCCCCTCCAGCACGTGCTCAGGGCAGCAAGCCCGAGCCGCACGCAGGCTTCCTGCCGGACACCTTTAAAGTCTCTATTGGTTGTTTTTAAGCCTTAGGCTCAGTCCCTTTAAATGCTCCTAATTTCTGTGGTACTAATAAGGGCTCAAATCCACTTACATTTTTTCCAGATCATCTTTAAAGGAGACATTTTTGGCAGACGATGACCAGAGAGAAAGACATGACAAATGTAGCAACAATCAGCAGTTACAACAAGGTGGGCTCAAATGAAGGTTCACTGATAGTTCTTACATGCCACGCTCTTGAATTTGGGTTCATCTCTTCCACATCTCCAGCAGTTGATATCACTAACTGGTGAAGTGGGACGTGCCAAGGGTTTGTGATATCCCCACCTGCTGGAAAAGAAGTGGAAAAAACCGAACTACCCCTGTACGCAGGTCTCCGCTGGAAAGGAATGTGGAAATGATTCAGTTACTCTCAACCATGGAGAACTATTGCCTCAGCAAGGCGATACTTCAGCACCCGGCACTGCTTGTAAAACGTAACTTTCAAGAGTATGTTCATGGGTTGATGATACTGAATCTTAAATTAAAAAAAAAAAAAAAAAAAAAAAGGTCTTAAAGGCTTCCAGCTCATTGTGACTAATAAGCCTAAAAATGGACCCATTAAAATGTGTGTGTTCAGTTTACTTTCAGTTAGGGAGTCAAATCAGTATCTGGGCCACACCAAATAACCTCTGTATACAGGAGATTATAAAAAGTCCTGATACTGTGGCAATTAACAATACTGAAAAACTTAGTTTTTGAACAATTATATTCATTACTTTAGTGTAATGACTGAATAAAATATATTACTTTAATGTTGACAGCAATTAAAGCTGTCCAATGTATCTTTTCGCCTGTCCCATGCTTTCAGATCCAACCAGAGAAATATTGCTGGTTGTTTAAAGAAAAACTGTTAGAATAAGGATTTCTTTTTATTTTTCAATGATGACACGATCCTTTTAAAGATTTAAACTGTTTTGTTTTGGAAATTAACTTTTCAAGTCATTTCCTTCCTTCTTGTTGTTCCTTATCATCACATCATTTCTTTCAGTTTGGACAACAAAAAAGAGACTAGTCAGTTTTATTTATGTAGGGTTTCTTTTTTTTAGTAATTTTGCATTCAAATTCACATACTAGAACAGTGCAGAAGAATGCTGTTTAATTCAACAATTTATTTAAACTCATGGATTGCTCTTAGGTTTTGTAGAAAGTCATTACAAAAACCTAATTTTGGGACTCATTTTGACCTGACAGTACCCCTTTAAACAAAAAGAAGATTTAATTATTAAATATGAATTGTTAAAATGAATTGCACATAAACATTTACATAGTTAATCCTTTGGCCAATTACATTACGCTTCATGCAGTACTACAGAAATAAGAGATTGGTTATCAATGTTATCTGAAGATGCAGTGTCACACAGTGAGATAGTGCAATGCACGTTGGGAGAGGAGAGCTTTAACTTGTGGGTCCTCCCTCTAAAAACATACCAAAAAGAGAGAGATTAACTTGGTTGACACGTGAAACAATTTGAGAGTGGGAGACTAGGACACAGTTTCCAGTGTGGCAAAGATGTGCACAACACACCATTTCTAATTTAAGTAGCTTTCTGAAGACTTAAATTAGGAAGGGCAAAAGTGGGAGCTCCTCCCTGTCTAAGGTGAGGTAAACCTAACTGAAAAGAAAGAGAAGGGTCTTCAAGGCACAGTCTTGAATAATACCAGCCTTTACAAAGCAAACAATATATGCCAGCAATTCCGTACCAGTGAATAGTGTGAGATGATGTCAAAATCCTTCAATTTTCTTTTCCTTATCTGGAGTAGTATTTTGTCCACGGAGGAACCATTAGCTTTTTCTTTTGTGGATGACATGTATACAATGCACATAGACTGATGAACATCTCAGGATTAACAAGCTGAGAACTTTTTATAACATTTCATTGCTCATTAACAGCTCGGTAGTTGAACTGGTAAATGACTCTACTATCAGAGAAGTTTGAGGTTCCTGAGAGTTGGTCTTGCTGCCAGTTGGTAACTGAATGATTGAATAGTGCATTTTTACTAAAGACAAACCTAGTCAGAATAAAGTTATGCTTCTGATTCTATACCACAGGTGTATGCGATAAAAGAAACAGTAAAAAAAAAATCTTGTAAATCACACACTTTATATTTAATATATTGAAACAAAAATAGTTAAGAATGCAGGAACTGTTTTACAGATTAAAAAAATATTTTTAAACCATCTGATCTTAAAAATAGACAATAGTAGTGAAGCTTAAAATACAACCACTCGCATTAAAATGTTTTAAGCGATACCACCTTGGCTCGTGTGGTGTGTCTTGCTTTGTCACATTGCTATTGAGATAACGCTTCAGTTGTTAAAAAGGTTGTGTCAGTAAGAGTCACTCTTTCACAATCCAAATCTACAACAGTTTTGCCTTTGATGGAAGTTCCTGAGCATTCCTGATGCAAACTTTCCCGTCTCTCTGTGAGTTTGGAAGCAGAATGAGCCATTGACCCACTCTGACTACCATTGGTCTGAGAGCAGACATTATTAACTTTAGTATTTTTATTTTTGTGGTGATTGTTGTAGACTTTATACTTCATGAGAAGAATGAAGATGAAAACAAGAACAGAAGCCACAATTATTCCACCAATAATGATGATCATGGTTCCTCCAAGAAACTGGGCATGAAGAGAGCGACACTGCTTATATTCTTCTTGTGTGGTGAACTGCACACACCCAATCACCCTGGTTGCAGTTAGAGATGTCAATCCATCATCATAAACAGCGAGAACACAAAGGTCATACTCACGTCCTGCAACCAGATCAGTCAGGAAGAAGGATTTGCTAATGGCCGGGATCATCCTAGAAGGGAAAACGGGTAAAATAAATGCCTGAAATGCAGTGCACCATGGAAAAATGCTTTGCCTGGTCAACAAATTCAAAGTTATGGTCCACAGAGTAATTTTACTTCTTCCCGCTTCGGCTTCTAATGCACAATACATGCTCTCCCCCATTATTGGAGAAATACTACGAAGTAAATAGCACAAGGAATTTGCACCTGCGTAAGTTTGTTATTATTGCATGTAAGTAATTACATTTCCTGTGATGCAAGCTTGCAGCGTTCTGGTGCACAGCAATTGTACACAGTGGTGCAATCTTAACCTGAATGTTACTTTACAGTGAACTTTAAATATAATTTCCCTTTTTCAAAAAAAGAAAGAATAAGTAAAGATGTGGAAGAAGAAATGCAACCTGAACTGGAAGAGACTTGCCATAACAGAGAAAATAAAAGCAGCCACCTAATACATAACAGATGAGCATGTTCTATGAACATCTCTTTCCTTGACGTCCCTCCTCCAAGTACTGATCAGAGCCAGTCTTGCTTATGAAATCTGATATGACCACAAAGCATGGTAGTATAACTCTACTACATGTTGTATCATTGAAATGCCAGGAAGTGAGCTAATGGAAGCACGAATCAAAACCAGATCTCAAACTGCAAGTCAACTACCTCTAAGCTATGAACATATATTTTCTCAGCTACTGTAAACTAGCACACCTCCACAGAAATCAATCAAGCTACACTAATTAACACCAACTAAGAATTTGTCTCAGTAATGTATGTAAAAATCTTTTTACACACACAAGTTCCCTGTAAGCTGCATGGCCGCGCAGCAGCTGATTTAGCACCATGCAAGCACTCAGGGAACCCGCCCGGCTGGGACCTGCTGCAGCCAGGGGAGAGATGCCCCTTCCCCGGCCCAAAATTATCATAGCCCCCAACCTGCTGCGGCTGTAGGAGAGGTGCCCCTTCCCAACTTAGCCCTGGACCTGCCACGGCTGGGGGAGGGGCGCCCCAAACCCAGCCGCGTCCCGGATCTGCCGCAGGTGCCCCTCCCTGTGGCCCGAACCCAGCCCCAGCCTGGGCGCCCCTCCCCCGGTCCGAACCCTGCCCCGGACCTGCCGCAGCCGGGGAGCCTCTCCCCCGGCCCAGACCTGCCGCGGTCACGGGAGGGGTGCCTCTCCCCCCTAGCCCAGTTGCTACTGCAGGGAGAGAGAGCTGGGAGGAGTCCTCTCTCCCCACCGTAGCCCCAGAGCATGCTCCTGCACCCCAAACCCCTAGCCGGAGCCCTCATCCTCTGCTCTTGTGCGCGCGCGCACACACACACACACACACACACTTAAGATCAGCATTTATAAAGAAACAAGCAGCATAAAGCAAAGGCTATTCCTGTGTGGTCACCCAGCCAATTGTGGACTAGTCTAAACAGGCTCAGCTTTGAAAATTAGAAGGATTGTCCCCATTCAGCCCAATAAGAACATCTGCATACAAGCCTGCAACTGCTATAATTTCAGTTACGTTGTTATAACTTCTATAATTTAATCATTACATAAAAAAGTGTACATCTGCAGTATTTTTTTTTTAGTTAATACTGTTATCTGTAAAATTAAATAAACTGCTGCCCAGGTGAAAGTTGGAAAATTAATAAGAATCCAGCGTACACCATTGCATAATCAGATCTGTAAGGAAACTTAATATAGTTTCCACCTAACACCAGAAATATGTTCTGGTTAAAGGAATGTTATACTGTAGTCAGTACAGCTGACTGAAAATTGGGGGGAAGTGTCTCTGTATTAATTATTTTTCTTTGTGTTTTTGTTATTTTGAGCAGCACTATGCTATTGTCTGCGTCCAGATATATTTAGAGAGCACCAACGTATTAAAATCATAAGGTACCTACAAAGGAAAAATAATTCTCTGGATATTTCCCCTTTTTTGTTACTTTTTGATGTATAAAACATGCAAGGTTACTTTGTTTGTAACCTTAGAAATGTAAGGAATATCATGTCTCGTGTATCTTGTTTTGGTGGGAGATTGTCTCAGAGGACCTACAGAAGTGGACTGGGAAGTTTCTTTGAATTTAAGTGGCAAAGGTGTGTGTTGCCCCTTTGCAAAGAGATCTTTTTTTCCTTTTTGTTTGTTTGTTTGTTGTTAGTTAGGCTGTTGAGTTAAGTAGATTTTAAACAAAAAACAAACTAAAACAGAGTTTTAAACAGAGGGAGCAAAAAACCACTCCCCCTCTCACTTAGGTTTCACTTATTTGGAAGCAGTGATTTCATAAACTAATTAGTTCTCTACTTACTTAGTTACTCTCTACTTAGTTCTCTAATTACTTCTCTACTGATCTCAAAATTAACGTGTATTTGTGAGCAGTCAATTGTTAGCTATTTCCAACATGCTACAGAATTTTACATTTACTTAATTGATGCATTTCACTGGACTGCATGAAAAAGTTGTATGCTTCATGGCAAATTATTTTATGTAAACAAACCTGCATGTTCAAGCTCTGTCTAAGAAAGAAAGAAAGAACTCAGTAATTAAGAAGAGAGTTGGTTTACCTTGAAAATCTTTGCAGCTAAAATTACTATATATATGAGCTGGAAGAGAAAAATGACCAGCAGCAAGTTTTTAGATATTTATCTTTTTTTTAGGTGTTAGTTCACTAAAACAGCAAATCAGTGTAACCATTGAGTTCCACCTCCTCACAACGTAGGGCTGAATATGACAAGACAACAAGCATCTTCACTTGCCATTGACTTCTGGGGGCTTTCTGGGGTGATTATAGCTTGGAGGGTCATACTTCTCCTATACTAGTAAATTCTGTGTTCGAGCATATTCCAGAATGCAGATAGATTCTAAACTTCCTGGACATTTTGACAAAACTGTCAGCATATTGCAGAGCAAAATAAACTGTCTTTGACATGCACTAGTTTTCTGATAAAGTTATTTTGAAAGCCACATAAAGAACAAGAGGAACAGACAGGAAGTACTATGCTAAAAGCAGCCATCAAAAAGTATTAGAATTCAGCCTTTACTAACACTCCCATCTTGGACAGAGATTGTTAGCAAACAAATTAAGGTACTTACAGGTACAGTAACATATTTAATTAATCAAATTTTTTGTACTATCTGGCTTATTCAGCAGGCTTTAATGCTGCTTTTTTTCTTCTGTCCTATAACTTTTTGTACTCCATTATTGTGAATGGGTTGGTGTTAAAGTTTGATTAATTAGTGTTAAAAGCTATTTACAGTAGGTAGCGTATTAGAAAAATGGAGTGGTTAGCAGCCAATGAAGCACGTCTATATTCTTTGTAATTAAATGAATAGATGTGGAGTAAACAAGTTCAGATACTTCCAAACAATGGCATTTTTATGTCCTGTGGTGCTACATACAAATGTTAAATAAACAACAATTAATACTACATTTGAGATGTGCCAGCTCTTTCGAAGACCATTTCCAGCTCTGTAAACTAGAAGAGCCATAGTGTTCCTTGCGTGCACATGTAACACCCAGGATAAGGAGTTACAGACCTGCATCAAGGGAAAGTTGCTACCTTGGCTTCTTAGAAAGTCAGAACAAAATCCAGACAAGTCTCCTCCCCTTTTCTTGAAGGTGCTGAGATCACTGAGGTGATTGGAACCGCAGTGTCTAGAAGGTTGGCTTGTTATCTTTATGTTTAGGGTAATCTAATATATGGACAACTGGATATTCAGTTAATTGAATAATTTATTTTATAAATTATTGTGATAAAAGCTATTAAAATTGTTTTATTATAATAATAATTGAAGGTATTTAACGCATTGTGGGCCTATTTAAATAACAAAGAGCAATGGCTAGAAAAGAGAAGGATGAATAGTGGTAACATGTTCTTGTAGTCAGCTATGATGGGTGCACAGACATATTCTAGCTGTATTGTGTGCTCATCACCATGGTATCTGAGTACTTAGCAGGTCAAACTAAAGTGAAAACAGACATGATCATTATGGAGCTGACATTTTCTCAAGTATATTCTAACATTTTAAGCAGCATAGACTTTGTGTTATAGGTTTGCAGCAAAATGTAACATGAATGGCATATAATCCTTGACAATTTGAGTGATAAAAGAATTTAGATTTAGGGCATACTGTGATTCTAAATAGGGTTAGACCAATATATCAACCACTGAGTGGAATTAGTCTATCTCAAACTAGCAGCTTTCAATGATCAAAGTCATTTATTTAAATAATTTAATTCACATGAAAGACATTTCACAATAGCAAGAAGGGAACTGCAGGACTGTGTTTGCGTGAGATAATCATACCTTTGGGGAATAAGTACTTTGCTGGGCTACTTTTCTTTTTAATGCCTCAGAAGGGCTGATGATTTTTGTCTCATGCTAACTACCTGTTGAGCCTCACTGCTTATTACCTTTACTTGTATGAAAGTTTAGTTGGAAATTAGTTTGCTATTGGTTGTACATTGACAAAACTATTAATTTTAGTTTCAAGTCTGTTGAATAAATCATTTATTTTTACACAAAGCATACTGTCCCTCCATACTGTCTGATTAGGAATTGCTCTTTCTGAAGTTGTACACTCTCAGAGGAATCCAAGCATGGCTCTAAATGTATAAATTGTTCATAAGCACTGCTGTATTGATCTCAAAGGGCAGAAGAGTTAACGGTGTTATAAATTCTTTCACAGTCCAACATTAAACAGTGTTATAAGGTTTGGGGAGTGTGGAGGGCATGTTCTACAGAGGCCTTGGTTTACTCGATTTCTTCGCAAACACCCAGAAGCATTCATTCTAAAGTTGAAAGTTTATTGATCAGTCGCAAGAAATTAAAACAAGCATTTAAACCAGTGATTATACAAAAAAAAATCTTTGAAGTCTCTCCTTTTGGAGGCAAAATATCAGTCTCTTATTTTCAGAACAACCTTTCTTTGATGAAAAGGAAAAGGTTAATTTTACTTTCAGTCCTAATGTATAAAGGGTATTTGCTTGTGTTTTTAACATGCAGACAGACACAAGGCGGAGGAG